CACCATTAGGTTTGCAGTGACTGAGCCACTGCCATTAACAAAAATGTTAAACAAGATCAGCTCCAGAGATAGATCCATGAGATGCTACAGTAGCTGCCTATCTGATAAGTCTTCTGTCCATGCTCTGTGCTGCCACATCTATAGGTGCCAGCTACTTCCACTTTCTTCAGCTAATTGGCATCTACATCAGCTTAATATTGCCTCCCATGTGGCAGCGTATCAAATGCTTACTGAAAAACACCTAATTTTATGATTAATTGGGTATCATCATCCCTATTTAGCAAATAAAGATAGACAGAGACTCAGCCAAGGCCAAGAGTGGTTCAGCAAGCTGAACCTTGTTCTTCTGGGAACAGTTATGGCACCAAACTGTGCTCGATGGTCACAACGCACAGCTAGACAGCTTCCACTGGCTTCTGTGGCAGAGAAACCCACTCACAAAAAAAAAACCAAACTTTTTCTGTCCAGTTTTTCAGTAGTAATCTGCTTATTCTAACAGTGACAAACACTCATTAGAGACTTTGAACAGGTTATTATCTCAAGGAAAGCAAGAAAACTGTCAGTCTACTAAAACAGATGCATTTTTCTCCAGGGTTTCTTAGCCTGTGGGTATCACCTACCACCAACACCTTCTGACAGCAGTATGTAGAAGAGGAACCTCAGTTGGATAAAAAGGATATTCACTGAGATACCTGTTATAAAAAGGGATGCTAGTCAGCAGAAAAACCCCACACCTACTGTCTCAGACCATGTCTTAATTTGTAGTGATATCAGGTGCCCTGCTTTGTTCTTCCTGCAGAGTTGTCCTTTCTTCTTCTCCCGCTGTTTCCTGAATTCTGACATGTAAAAATCTCCAAACCGGTGCCTGGAGTTCCCTCTTTAGCTCACGGCTGGCTTCTAAAACCATAAGCCTTGTAGACATTTATATTACAATCACTTTTTTTCCTGTTATTTTCATGCTCTAGCAAGGACCATACAAAATGTACATTGGCTTAGTGCTTACAGCTCAGCTTAAAATGAAATGAGAAAATTGCTAATAAGGTCATTTTAAAATGGCATCAATTCTCTCCGTTTCTGAAGTTCATCTGGAATCAATCTGTGAAACCACAATCACTCAGCTGAACTTCAGTCTCAAATGCCAAACATAAGAGGAATGACATTTTAGGGCTGAAAGGGGGACGTGTGCTGGAAAGGCATGCTGTGACACAGCCGGGCTGCTGGGGAAACCAGCCACGGATGGATGATGACGATGGAAAGGATGGCTGAAATGGAGCAGGCACATTCACCATGACAAAAGGTGGTTCGGATGAGGGCCAGGAGGTGGGAAGGGGACAGGTCACTCACCACAGCCTGCTCTGCTGGCTCAGCAGGGATGGCCTCCTTTTCCACAACAGCAGCAGCAGGGGTTTCCTCGACCTTGGGTTCCCCAGGTGGAGCTTCTTCAGCCTCGGTCTTTTATTTTATTGATTTTTAAGTAGACAGTGGAAAAATCATTGAGGAGCCATGATAGTGGGGAGGAAGGGGAGGAATGAGAACTGTGCCTGGCACAGTGCTGGTTCAGGCTCAATCTTGCCGGGCTTTGCCAAGGAGAGGATGGCAGTGCCTGGCTTTACAGCATCTAAAGGGCATTTTCACCCTCAATGTTCTATATGCAAACTGAGCCAGTCCTACACTCCTTCATCTCAAGGAAAGAAAGCATCAGCTTCCTGAATTACAGAAAGGGGCAGTAGAAGTGGGGGGAAGGCACTCAGTTTGCTCAGAAATGCCCCAGAAACTTGACAGCAAGGCCAGGAGTTCAAGCTGGCACTCATGTACCAACCCTGGGCTTCAAATATGAGACTTTAACATTATCCCATTCCCTAGTTCTGTCTGTTCTCAGACAATATAATCCCTCTTCCAGTGAAGGTAAGAAGCAACTAGCAGAGACTCAAACAGGCTTTATGTGCGGAAGGGCAACCACTGACTGCTTGAATTCTGGCAGTGTGAAAATCATCCCTGGTTTCTTAGGAAAACGCATTCCCTCTTGAGGTCTCAATCACCTACAAGGCATCCATTTATCAAACCAGTATTGGGATTTCCACCCTTTTAAATTCTGGCCTAAGCTTGTTTCTTAGCAAGAGGATTTAGCAAATATGACCAGCCCTGCAACACGTTCAGTCCTGTGGCAAAATAGCTCACAGCCGAAGTGCGATCTCCAACGGAGACATCACTTCGCAAATACACGTGCATACAAGGGGAGAGCTGCAAGCTGTGCTCAGCGTATTCCATTTATAAAGGTGGCTGACTCAACCAGATAGAATAACCACACTAGATTAATTTTCTACGAACAAATTGCTCAGCAGAATGTGAAACTCAAAAGCTCTTTAGCTGCTTTGCAGTTGATAACAGGCAGCTGGCTAGGAGGTCTCCTGTGATGAAGAGACAGCTTCCATGAAATTCTTAAAGATACTAAAATCTTCTCCTCTCTGATATTTTTTGGGTAAAAACCCATAGCCTCTCACTTATTTTCTCACATATTCCTTAAGCAGACTGATTTTTAATGAGGTACAGAGGAGTCTGCCTAAGAAAGACCTTCAGGATTTGGCATAGCATAAAGAAATATTCATTATATTATACCATGCTGTGCAGAAATCTCTCTGCATAGTGTATTAATGCCACTTCTAGGGAATTGCACAAAGAAGAAATAGGACTGAAATGAGAAACACAAAGTAGATTTATCCCAGGTAAGATGACTAATGCATTTCCTGAGGTTTAACGCTGGAAGAAACTTTCAAACTTAAAATCACAGGTAACATTATAATGCAGATTGCATTGATGTGCTTCATGTCACTTGTTGACAAGCAGTCTTCAGACTAGTTACCACATTTCAGGTACAAATAAAAATACTCTCACCATATTCAGTAACCATTATGAACACAAGCACCACCGGAGGCATTATACAAAAGCCACATTAAATAATATTGAGTATCACTCTGCTGCTGTTAAGTAGCTATAGCACTCACCCCAGCAATCCTGCTATTCCGCATCCTTACTCCAGGCTAACCAAGGACTGCTAGAGAAACTAAGAAACTGCCCAAATATAATCACTTCCAAAAAGATTCTACACTCCTTAGAAGCAGACTGTGCCTAGTATTAATATGTGGAGAGTGGATAAAACTACAGGAATACTGGAGATGTTTAAACAGCCATCATGTAGTATCACCTGCTTGCTGTACACTGGGCCAATAGTACTCATCCTTGTCATTTCTTAAACGCAATAAATGAAGAAATTGTTTGACTACACCTTCAAAAAGAAACCATATCTTAGAATAATCTGGTTTTCTTTTCTTTTTCTCCATGCTATACTTGTGAAAAACTGTTTCAGTGAGTAAAAATTTATGACGACAATGATATCACCCACCAACCCTTCCAGGTTAAGGTTTTGTGATTTACAAGGTGGAAAACACAAAAAAGGAGAAAATATCTTTGCACAAAGGAAAAATGGTGCCTTTTTTACAAGGCATGCAAAAAGGAAGCAAAAGCCACCACCTACCAGAGGCTCTGTCACATTCTCATTTGATTGCACTGTAAATGCAGAGGTATCCTAGATATAGGAAAGAAAAAAAATGATGCAAAAATATTTGTGAGGGGATGTTTGCAGGTGTCTATCAAAGACCTGATTTTTTTAAATTATTTATTCAGGTAAAGTAATAAGTAAATTCACATAGATTAAGATGACAAATAGATAATCTAAATGGGTATTAATAATAATTATTACTTAAGCCCTATTAATATTAAAGACGCTTTTTCAATAATATGCTTCTAAACAGTGCAATTTTACTAAAGGTGGTGAAAATCCCCTCATTAAATACATGCAAGTTGCAAGGACTCTGTTTCAGGCACAATGCACTTTGAAATGGTAAAGTTCAGAATCTTTTTTTTGCAGACTACACGTGCCCATGCCTGGGGAGTACACTAGCTTTAAGCTACTTTCATATCCTCTTGATTCTGGGCTTTTATTTGAATAGTAAATATAGTAATTATGGATACAAAATTTGGCCTGCATTAAGAAGGTACAAAAATGGAGACTGTTTTCCAACATCTTACTGATTCAGAAGCAATTAATTTGCAAAATATTGATGGGTCAAATCCTTTTCCTACTGCCATAGGGGCATCAAATTTTGATTTCCTCAGGGCAAACATTTTGCCTTAATTATTAGAGGTGGTAGCCTTGTGCTTTCCCCCTTCCTTCTGGATCCTTTACTAATTTAAGTGTCCTGGAGCAGAATGGTTAAACCCTGGAAGACTCATTTCCATCCTTGCATAACCTCAGCCCTTTTGGGTGCTTCTAAAAAAAAGGTGTAGAGGGTGTACCGTGGATGAGCCAGTCTCTAAAAGGGTGCTGGAAATTAATGAGACCCTAGGTTATCCACCCGAATTTTGGGATCTTGGCACAGCCCTGGAGTTTGAAAGCATAACCATGGTATCTTCATGCATCATATCTCTGCGATACCTAACAGAGTCTCACCATAAGCACAGCAGCAAACAAATAATTTAGGTTTAACTTGCAGATTAAAATATATCTTAAATGAAAATAAAGATGCATAAATAAATAAAACTCATTTTAGATACATACAGAGAGTCACAGAAAGTATGTGAAACTGAGGAAACCACGCTTTCTAGGATTTTGGGATTGTGAGAAAAAAAACACACAAGATCACAATAAAAAAAGCTAAATCAGTCCTTTTAGGAGGGGGAAAAAAAAAACCAAACAGTCCCACTAAGGTAGTTGGATTTTTGCTATTAAATTCAGTCAGGTCAAGAGCACCAAGAGTATTAGCATCATTCTAGTAACATCTAGGAATAAATTCTGAGAACAGACAAAGTTTGGATTTGAGTTAGTATGACATTGTTGCGCAGCTTGTCTGTAGAACAGATTTCCTGAAATTGTACATCCAGTCCTCATCCCTTCCTAAAAGCATCGAAAAAAAAATAAATCTCAAAACATGTTTATTTCTTACCTGTGCAAATCCATTAAATGCTGTGCTGGATGCCTAAGTAGAAGTGAAGATCAGAACAAATTATCATTTGTTTACCAAATCAAAACATGAGTCAAAACATTTTTATTTGCAAAATAAAAATGTAGGCCAGACATTTAAAAAAAGTAAAAAAATAAAATGAAGGGTAAAACAGCAAGAAATTTGACAACAGTGTTATTTGGTAACAGGTGTCACAGGCTTAAAGAAAACAACAAAAACAAAAAGCAAAGTAACTTAAATATTCTTAAAAAAATAATAATAATAAAAAAGACTAGGTGCACTGAAAGTTGTATGAAGTCATACATATAAAACAAAACCTGCGAGACACATCGTGCCTTCACAGCTCAAAGCTTCATTCACCATTTTGAAATGCATTTTTGTCAGCCTGCTTCATGACACGGCTGAAGGGCACCACACTATGAACAGTTGCACGGCAATTTTTCAAAACAAGAATAGCGCGAGCTTAGGAGGGGCAGTGGGAAACACACAAATGGATTGTTTTCAAACGACAGGGTTATGCATGGCCTAAGGAACTCTTCGTCTAGACTAGGCTACACACTGGGGTAGGTACCTCTTCTTTATCAGCCTCAATTTCCTGGTACAACAATCCATATCTCCGGTTAGCAATTTCATCTTCAGATAAATCTGAGTTGTTGGTCTCATTGTCTTTAGGACTAGTTGAACTCTCGGTGCTAGTATTTCTGGAATTTCCCATTTGAAACAGAGCCAAGGGTCTAGCTACCTCCTTGCTTGGTCCAGGATTGCTAAAGCCCACCTGCTCCCCAGGCAAGCCTTCTTTTACTGGTGCCTCCTGACTTGTACTCGCACCTACTTCTGCCCAGCTGTTATCAGCCCCTCCTAGGTCTTGTGTAGACCATTTATCACTAATGCCTAACCAAACATTTTCCATGTTACCTTCCTCTGAGTCTTGCTGCTTGGGGAAAAAGGGCCAATTATCCAGTCCATTAGCTTGGCCATCTGACGGATTAGAAAAACCCCAGGAATCATGAGTAACTGTTGGATCCCAGTTTGCCAGCCAGGGGTCTGTTTCCAAGGCTTCAGGAACACCACTGCTACTAGGATGCTCTTCAGCAACTGCTGCTGCTGCCCTACCTGTCACTTGGTCTTCTGCATTATCTAGGCAAGGATTACCACAGCTTGTGCTAGCAGCAGCAGCTGTCTTGGGCAGCAAGAGCCACTCTTTTTCAGCAGTAGCCTGACCTTCAGCAGCAGCACTACCATTCGGGAGGCAGCTGACGCTATTGTCTTCAGTTCCTTTACTGGACTCTTCTGCATTGGATAATTCAGCATCACACACAACGTTTCCGGTATCTGTAGAGTCCTTTTCTGTGTGGTCATTTACCTCTACGTCAACATGTGCAGTTGTGTTTATACACTCCATGGATGTACTCTCTCCAGTACCACTGTCAGTTTGGGCTAAGTCATTCTCAAATGTCCTTTCATGGTGCTGATGCCAGATACTAAAAGCTCTCTCAGGTTCAACACCAGTGCTTTCTATAGTTTTACAGTTGCCCACTATTATTTTGTCCCCACCTTCCAGCCCTGTGCTCAACAATGGTACTTCTCCATCTGTCTCCTCAGTGACACTGGCCCATTCGAATTCTTCTTCCCTAGGGTTTTCCAGGTTAGCACCACTAGCTCTCCCAGCATCCCCATCATTACCTTCCAACTCCTGTAAATTTTCTACCTCTGTACTGACTAAAATTTCAAGATCTGATTTTGCTAAATCCTTATGAAGTCTCTTTCCTTCAGTTTCGCAACCTTGCTCTTCCAGTTCCTCTGGACTTTCTACCTCCTTGTAGTTAACAGCTTTGGTCTCTACCTTTTCACTTGGCTTGACACCTGCCCCCTCGTCTTCCGCCCTCTCTTCCTCTGCCTTTTGCGAATCACATGGTAGGGGTTCATCCAACAAGCTCTCAGTTCCTGGGACCGGTGTCTCAAAACTGATTATGTTCTCTAAAGGCTGATTGGTCACCACATCTTCCCATGGGACATTTTTGGCATCCAACTGGTTCTCCAGTGAAGTCCTCTGGTTTTCATTTACAGAAGCTGACCCTGGTGCAGCATCCTCCTGCTCACCTACAGCAGGCCAAACACTAGCAGGCAGAGTACCGGGGGATTCGCTTGAGGTTTGCTCTGCCACAGGGAAAAGCAAAGAACCGCCTGCAGTAATTTCCTGGCTGACACTGGGTGTGCTAACATCTAGGCCCCAGTTGAGTGAACCTAGATCAGTCTGAGATCTGTTAATATCTTCTGATGACCCACTGTTTGGGATTTCCTCCATGACCAGGTTACACAGGGAAAGACTTTTTGAAGAATCAGGCTTTAAGCAGACAGAAAAGCAAAGAAAAAACACAAGATGAAAAAGATAAAGGCGGACTTGATGAGAAAACACAAAATTTATATTTTACTAGAGTAATTTTAATTTAAAGAATGAAAGTGACTAAATTAAGCCGTTTAAGGAAAAGCTATGCGTTTTGTAACATTTGGAGATTGCAATGTAAAAGAGCAGCACTGATAGACAAAACCAGAAAACTATATATTACTCCACACCGATTAAAGCACGTCTCTAGAGTGGTTGTGATTTTGGGGGGAGGTTTGCTTACCGGTTGCACCAATTCGCTGGTTGTCTGTATAGAAGAAAATCATACAAATAAAACACAGAAAAGAACAACATGATGTACTTTGTTACACAGCAGTTCGTTAATGAGCAGTTCTCTAACCAGCAGCAGTTCCCAAACTGGCATGGGGAAGGAGCAGTGGGTCCTCTCCTGCCACTCCACAGAAGACTAATTCCAGACTCCTGAATTTAAGTCACGCTTCCAGCCTCTGTGTTACATTATAAAAGAAGTTCTGCATGTATGTTGAATATTTATCACACCTTGCTTTCCTCTGCAAGCCACTGACACTTTTATTGCAGGAACTCTATTAATTGAAAAGAGGAGTTGCTCTGGGAGACAGTGACCAGGGAAGGAAACAACACAAGTGGCAGTGGGGCTTACTTGTATTTACACTAGGGCATCAGTGCATCGCTTGGGCAGTGCAGAGGACCCTGAGCTGCAGCTCCGATTCTCTATCGCCCTGTGCCATGCAGAGGCATTTACATCCACATACGGTAAGGTATCAAGTCACAGAGCCTGCTGTCTACACTGCCACTTTGAACAGATACAAATGCTGCAAGGAAGATCAACAACTATTCTGCAGTCAACTTATTAAGAGACACTCAGTAAAATGTTGAGTGTTCCTAACTTCAAACATTTAGCTGTGAAGCCCACTACTTACTCTATCTTTTTAAACTAGAGAAAAGAGGAAAATAATTATAATACAGAATACATATATAATGTTAACAAGCTCTAACTAAAACCTTGTGAAAAGGCGACAGTGATAAAGCTATCTAATATAAGTTTAGAGCAATACATTTGAAACATTTCTGAGTTATTTTAGCCGATCTAGATATCAGCCTTGAAATTTTGGCTGTTCTACATCCATGACTCTTTTTTCAGGCTTTATTTAACCTTTTCTCCAATAGAAAGAGATGAGCATTTAATATACATCACATATGCCATGTGTTCACAAAACAGCGCTGCAAATCTGAATGCATGAGAAGCATCCCCAGATCTCTGTGCTGGCTGAAGCTGCAAAAGGTCACAAATGAGCATACCAGGCTGCACGTCAAGTCAACCCAACTATCTCTATGACATAAAGTCAAAAGAAAGCTCAGAAAAATGAGCCGTTTTCTTCCTGCAGATCATTGTATCTGATTTGGCATCAGGAGGAAGAAAGAAGGAATCATGCAGTTTCCTAAAGTAGTAGCTTCTTTTGTGAATAACTCCAGTTCACTGTACGCCCACAAAGACAACTTAAATTCTCTCTTCACACCTGAATTTTGAGAAAATGGTTGTCCATTGGGTTAAAGTCCTGAGGAACTATACCTTCAGATAATTAAAACAGGTGACTAGCATCCATTCCTACCCTCTAATAGCTGTAATTCAGGCATAAGAATAAAAGCAACACACACTTAGCTATAATGATTGTGAATCTTATTAGCCTAGATTTCTGACACCATTTAGATTTTGTAGGCCAAGCAATAGAGACTATTTTTTGTTGGTGATGGTTTTAAAAGATCCCCAGTGGCTTCATATACTTGAAAGTGTTTGTCACGGTCTGTAAATTCTTTATCTTGGCTTTTGGTAAAAGCATTGTAAATCTGAGTTTAGGGTGTTACAATATCAGAAATATCTTAATTCACAATGATAAATGTCAGGCTTACCGTCCATAGATCCCATGGCAATGTCTGAAAAAAGAAGCGGAAGAGAGAGACTCTTAGAAAAATACTGTTCATATTCTGTATGTCGAACATGCTACATAACTGTGTGCATTAACTAACAAGAGAGAACTTATTTATATGCATATTTATGATACATATTTTATATATTAGCGCATGTGTGTGTGCGGGTACATATCTGCATAATACACTTTTTAGTTAAATGGGATGGGCAGTATGCGATGGATTGCGGTATTTCCCACTTCAAAGCAATTACTGCTTTCCGGTAAACTCACACTGTGACGTGCTTGAGTGACAGTCAGATTCTGAGCTGGTGACTGAACGGCTTTCAACAGGTACGGGAGTCTCTGCAAGGTGTAAGCTTTTAAGAGCTTGCATAGGTCAGGGGTTTTAGCCAGTTAAAAAGTGATCCAGCTATCCACTGAGAACAAGTGGGTTTTCTCATAACTCTAACACCAGGAAGGAAAATGGGATGCTTCTTGGGAAAGAAAACAAGAAAATTGACCAATGTTTTAATTTTCTTGTCTAGTCTGTTAAGTAATAAATGTTAGTGATCTCAGCAGAAGAGCTGAATGGACAGATGAAAGAAAAGCAGCAGACTTCATGCCAAATATCAATAGCCCACCACATGAGAAGGAACTCTGCTAGTCGGTCCCAAAAGCTGTCTGAGATGCTTCAAAACATATCTACTACATTCACACCTAGGTTAAAGTCCATGAAAAACAACAACTAAAGATGCTCATAAAGTAAAATGTAAAACTGTTCCTGAAATACTTGCAAATGTTAAATATGACATCTAACATTTGCCTGAGAGGAAGGATTGCTGCATTTAGCTTAGTTTCTTGCCTGCTTCTTATTTTATAAGGACAGAATGGTTCTCTGAAACACTTCTTTCACAAATGAAAGACACAGTAATAACTCACTACTCAGATTTATAGCAAATTAATATCAATAGGCATTTCTCAATCAGTTTAATTTGGTTTAAATCCAGGTACATGCTTCTTCTGTGGATGTAATTCACAAGAGTAGCCGTTTACTCTGCTGTAACATTATTAGGTGAACATTCAAGCTTTAAGGAAAAATGATAGGTCTGTTCTTGTAGCGCTATCTGGTACAAACCCTAAATGTCCTACTGACTTCCATGGAAGGAAGGATTGCCCATTTTTCATTTTTTCATTTTCCTTTCATTGCTCATGAGACTGAGTATGAGGGAGAAGGAACAAACTGACAGAAAGGTGAGACAGACCACAGCTAGCAAACGGAGGTGAGGGCCAGCATTTTCAGAAAGACCGTTTCTGAAGCGGCCATAGGAACAGAAAAGTAAGCAAGGAAGGGCAGACCAGGGCTCACTCACTGTGGTCTGCTCACCCTGGCACAGCAGTGGAGGGAGGTAATTAATTAAATGGTCAATAGGGAAGTCACGCCAGGCCTCCCGAGGCATCATGGCACAGATGACTGCTCCTGTCTTCACATCACCACTTCAGCAGTTTGCTGATGGGAAAATATCCGTGACTGAGGCAAAAACTATACACATACAGAAATACCACCTAAGGTTCTCTTCTTAATCTCCCTACAAGGTAGCACAGGGCTCTCCAGTGACTGCAACCACAGGTTTCATTCTGTCTCTGCTGC